TTTACCGTTATTTTTTGGGAGAGGAGAAAATAAAAATGACGTGCAGGCCTACGGGCCATGCGTGGTCTGGACCGGGTCAGGCCTCTCCTGACCCGGTCCGAGCCGGTCCATTTTCAGCTCGGTCCGAGACTGGGCTACCTTCCTTGCAGTCCGAGCCGGCTTGGACCGCCCGTTTTTACACCTTTACTACAGCATAGGGAACCAACCTATGTACTTGACTTGATCGACAACCAATTTATTTAACAGTCATCAACAGCTCGATCAAAGTACAGTGGAGGCATGTGCATTAAGCAAAGAAATTGTATTTTAAAATAAAAGTTCCCAACGAAATATATACCAAGGGTGTGTTTGAACCATATTATTTTGAAAGAATGTATTTTGAAATAGTAGATTGATGAAGAATTTGTGGTTGAAAAAAGAAAGAAAAGTTATTGATGTGATGAAAAATATTATTTTATTGAAAAATGTGTGGTTGAAAATGAATAGAAGAATGCGAATGAAAATTTTAATGTGTACCAAACAAGGACAAAAATTAAAAACCAAATTCAAAAATCAAAATCTAGAAATTTTATTTATGAGCAAATAGTAAGTACTCTTAAGACTGACCAACTTGAATCCATTATTGTACATAAAGATCCTTTCTTTTCAAACAAATGCCTGTTTTGGAGATGAAAATACATTCCTCTTGCTTCCTCCCTGCTTTCCCCCTGCCAAAACAAGACGATACCAAAAATTTAATCAAATACTAAAGAAACATGGAAGAACTGAAATATTAGATTAGAACATGATGTATGGGTGAGTATGAATTATCTATGCAAGAATTCTTGAACGAACAACCATTCAGATAAAGCTACCAATCAAATTACGAGTAATTTGGAGATGAATTAACATGTGCATAGCCAAACAAGAGAGATTAAAAATTTAACATTTAACATTGTTCGATAAAACTTGAATAACATTTGTTTCTTCAAAACAAGTGCATCTGAGTAATCCGATGTAATAAAACATACCCAAATGTATAATATACTCTTGTTAACATTAGATATTCAATATTAACACCAACAGATAGTTTCCAGGGACCCGGAAATGCTAGGAAATGACACAACCTTACAGTCTGCAATATCTAGTAATATGGAAAAACAAGTCTGCTTCTCCCCTTTTCACGTTCCAATGTAAATCCTGCAGTTTCTCAAGTCTAACATCCTTAGGTTTCCTATTCGTGTCCACAATGATGCAGAAAGGATACTGAGGCCAAGTTCCTTGTATAATTATCATAATCCAATATATCTTTTTACGTCTGTCTGATACATATATCTGTGTGTGTGTGCATGTGTTTGTTTGTGGTATTTATCCAGTTAAGGTCCACAGACAGATATAATCCTGCACTGTAGGGATGGCAATTTTACCCAAAGAACCCGAGCACCAAGGCGCCCCATCCCGTTGACATCCCTGGCTGCACATTAGGATGCCATAGTTCAGTAAGTAACACAACTCCATTCCAAAAGAAAAGTAAAAATGAACAAATCAGTATTCATGATGAACATGTAAGCTAATCACCATCCAAATAAAAGAATTAAACGATGGGAGGTGCACAAAATGCATAAACCGCGATTAAACACCGACAGTAAACTTCCTCCATGAAAAAAAATAGGCAATCTTAACTACTCACACCACCCTCTCAAAGACTCCACTTTTTTCCTTTGAAAGCTCAGAGGGCATCTAAAAAGAAACATGAAGTCTTAGTTGAGGCGTCAAAGTCTCTTTTGAGATCGCAGGTACAATCAACCTCTATGTACAACGCCATAAATGTCATCATCCAAACCCAAACAACCAGAATTGGACAAGCCTAATCAGTTATTACCCCTGCCCCACGACATTAATTTCTCAGGTACTACTTACAGCACCCACGATGTATCTGCACCTCTTTCATCCTATAAACCCTTATTTTTCTCGTACTAATCTTGAATCCATTCAAGCAAAACCAATTCAAATCATCAACCTAAAAAACTTCAGTAGTTGCATTCTAAAAAAATTATTCTGACAAATATGAAATCAATTATTTCCAGATAAGAATTATATACCTTTATGATACATCTACGAAAGGGACAAATTAGGATATAAGAGGTCCTATCAAACATAAATGATGCAGCGCGAAGTGAGAAATATGGCAAACAAGCACTAGAAGTTCATTGATTCCAAAGGAATAATGGGAACTGACCAATCAATATTTTGTTGATTCAAGAATGAATATAAGATCCAATGATTCGTGAGAATACTGAAACAGGATCAATAAAGAATTGGAGAAAAGGCTCCAAAGTTCTTCAAGCTTTTTATTAATCAATAAGGGATTAATAGCAGAAAACCCCCCAGAAACATTTTCATGTGCGATATATCCCCTATCTATTGAAAATAATAGAAAAACCCCCTATTTCAAACCTTTTGTGCGAAAAACCCTCTACCCTCAAGGTCCATTAGATTTCCCATTAAAAATAGTGATGAATGCTAAAATTAAAAAAAAAAAAAAAAGAATAAATGCAATTTCAATACCCAAACTTTTTATTGTTTTACAAATTAAATCCGATTTTTTTATATGTACCAAATACAATCCCAAATTTTTAAACCTTCATTTTACACCCAACTTCATCTTCTTCCCCAAAAATCCAGGCAAATCATCTTTCTCAACAAATCCTTGGCCTCTGGCAAAATAGACCAGGAAATCCGAGTCGGAAACCTCAAATTCCATCTCAAAACTGCCTCAAAAGTTTGACCCGCCTCTCCCCATAAAACGGCAGCACCGCACTCAGCATAATGTACAAAATCACTCAGGCACTCCATACATCCACCTTCTCATTGTACTCCCTCCCAATCAGCGCCTCCGGTGCCACGTAATACAGCGTCCCCACAACCCCCATCATGAACCCTTCCTCAGAAACACCAAACCATTCGATGGATCCTAAATCTGCTAGCTTCAACCGCCCGGCAGAATCAAACAAAATATTTTATGATTGGTGAAGATTTTGGTAGATCCCATATTACATCTGAGGTGTGTCCTTTCACTAGTTTTGGATCCCATATTAAGCTCGAACCTTAAGCCTAAACTCGGTTATCATGGGATAGAATTCCCTAATTCAGTGGACTCCCATATTATTTTACAGAATCATCAACAATGACTCCTCTTCATAGCAGATCCATATTCACCTCTTTGTTGCTGATTTCTGTACTGCTTTCTAACTGGGTCTTTGCAGAAGATGATGTAAAGTGTTTGCAAGAGCTGAAGAGTTCATTCAATGACCCAGAAGGGAAGCTCAACACATGGAGAGTTCATTCTAGCTAGGTCTTTGCAGAAGATGATGTAAAGTGATTTGTGTACTGTTTTCTAACTGGGACTGAGCAGATGATGTAGAGTGGAAAAAAAAGGAGAATTGAAGCATTAATTATTACAAGGAGAATTATGATCTTTGGCAACTAACTATTAACCATACTTTACACACACAAGGAGAAATCTTCATCAATGTATTTTAGTTTTGGGAAAAAAGATGAAGTGGGGTGAGGTGGGGTGCAAAATAAAGTTTCAACGATTTGGGATTGTGGGTGACACATGTAAAAAATTTGGATTTAATTTGTACAAAATAAAAAGTTTGTACTAAAATTGCAATAATTTCCTTTTACTTTTGGCATTTTTTACTGTTCTCAATGACAAATCTAACAAATCTCGACAGCAGAGGATTTTTTCGCACAAAAGGTTTCAAATAGGGGAGTGTTTTAGATTTCCAATAGGTAAGGGAGTATATCGCACGTGAAAACGTCTATAGGGGGTTTCTACTATCAATTCTAATCAATAACAAAATAATGCTTCTATCAACCATAAAAGCTCTTAAACAAGTTTTTTATGCATTCCCAAAAGACTAAACTCTCTTCCAAAGATGTAAAACACACGTGAAATAAACTAAAACAACGTGGACTAAATAGAATAAGTAAACATCAACAAGGCCCCAGCCAAAGCAATCTGCTCATATTGGTCCCAGTCAGCACCTCTTTAATTGAGCATATTGATTCATGATCTAGTTGGCAATTCTCTCGCGTGCATCAATAAATCATCCATAAATATCAAAAAATATATTTTGTTCACCCTTTTTATATCCTTTCAGAATGCATTTATATAAAAATCAAGCAAAACAAAAGCAACATAAACAATACATAGTAAATAAATGCATGATATGTTTAGCGAAAAAGGGCTAATTAAAAGAGAGAGAGAGAGAATCTGGGACCAAAAAGCGACAGGATATCTTAGATTACCATAATTAAGCATTTGTCCTGTTATGCTCGGAACTAGGGAGAAACAATACCTAATAAACTGATTTTATCAACTTCTCAGATATAAAATAAAATGAAAATCACTATTAGACTAACAAGTCTATAAATTAACGATCCCTTTATAAGATGGGAATAACCTCTTATACCCAACAAGCCATAAAGATGGTATCCCAATCAATATTGTGTAAATAAGAACCCCTATTCATTTATGCAATTACATTTAGTTAAATATCTCTTATTTCAATGGAAAAGTCAGCTTTTGTGTTGTTAATGTGAAAGCTTCAATAATCCATTAGATGAACGCAAATTGAAAAGCAAACCAAGGACTGGCTTGTCAGTTTCAGAATCATGTCAAAAGAAAAACTTCAAATGGGACTTCTTCGATGAAGACTATTGCAATCAATTGGTTGTAAATTACACGTCATGTTTACAGAAATTTTCAATCCACGTGGCTGTTTTCACAGTCACCGCCTTAGACTGTGGCAACTTCATGACAATCAGAAAATCTAGTGCAAGAACAAACAAATTCAGCAACCTGTTGAAAAGACAGTCATCACAAGAAATACGTGTTTTGCATCAATTGCACAACTGACTGCAATTTTGTAACAGAATAATAAGACAGATGGCAGATACGGGATGAGCTTTTCCCAGAAAGCTCATAAATGCAGATTTTGCAACAGTACCCACGAACACACATTTCTGAACCACGCAGAATGAAAGACAAACTGGTTAATTCGTGCATTTCTTCTCGTATAGTGTGAACTATTTTTAAGACCAGAAAATTGGTTTCCCAATGGATAGCAAAATTATCCAATGCCTTGTAAATATGAATGTAAAAGGCTGTTCCCCCGTCCATGAAGCAATGCAATTAAACAATTACATGTCTCACATCATATTCAAATTTTATACTCATTTCCCTTATACAATTCAAGCACATTGCATTGTAATTGAATATATAAACATACAAGAAGAGTAAATCACTTCAGCACAAAAGTACAGGAAAAATTTTACATAATCGACATACTTTAGTCCAGGTCCTCCTCTCTAGCCTGTCCTCCTCCAGAGCCTGCATTTGATGCCCCACTATTCTCATTGCCGTCAGTGTTCCGTCCTTGGTTACTGCCAGCTCCACCTCCACTGTTGCTTGTCTCTGCTGGCGAATCAAGACCTCTGAAAATCCATGGCAGTGAAATCCTAAACCTCCTCTCCATTGTTCTTGGTAATTGATTATCATTAGTGCCAGTCTCCTGACCTCCACCACCTGAAGCCATGCCTAAATTATTATTGTTACTATTTATGCTATTATTGCTCACTTGCCCAGTTCTTCGATTTTCATAATCTGGGTCATCAGTGGGTAACTCGTATCTACAAACTGGACAAGAATTATGCAACTCAAGCCAAGGTAATATACAATCTTTATGGTAGATATGTTTACAAGGAATTTGCTTTGCTTCCTCGTTCAACTCAAAGCTGTCTTTGCACACGGCACACTGGGATGAATCTGTGGCCAATAGCTCTTTGGTGATCTTTATATCTGGCAACCCATCCACTGCAGACTTCGATGCAGGTGGGGTTCCATACCTGTTAGGATCGTTCTCGGCAAGTTGCTGAATCAATTGCTCCAACCCCGGCCCAACAAAGTAGTCACCAAGATTCGAAGGCAGCCCAAAATCAACCCCATGTCCCAGCCCTCCGCCACCCGGCCCCTCAAAAACAAGCTGAATGTTCGCACCACGTGCCTGGAGACCATTCACGTACTGGTTTAGAAAGGCGAAGGGATTGAATTCATCAGACGATCGGGAGCCTCCGAACAAAGAAGACAGATCATTTAATCCTCCACCTCCACCGCGGACAGAAAAGGCGGCGCCTCGTGGGGTGCCGGTGGCCGAGGAGAAGATAACGGGAAGGCCACCAAAGGCTGCAGAGGGGAAATTTTCAGAGAAAGATTGGTTGGGGTTATCATTGGGGTTGGTAGGGTTTGAGGGCGGTACGGTGTCGGATTCTTCCAGAAAGCCGCCGTTGCAATTGGGGCAAACGAGCTCAGCCGTGGGAGACGGTGGGGGAGTTATGGTGACGGTGCGCTCGCATTGGTGACAGTAATACTGTTGTGCGCCACCGCAATTTCCACCACCTCCGCCGGGAACTTCCGCCGACGACATTTTTTTTTTTCCCTGTAAAGAAATGTATGTATAGTGTACGTCTGCGTAGAGAGAGAATTTTGGGAAGTGAAAAGTACTAGTTTGAGAAAAATGTGATGGGGGATATTTATACTCTGTAGTGAGGAAGGATTATCTCCAGTTAGATTGAGTCCAATTTCCTACGTTGCGAGTGCTCATTTTTGGCTTTGAAATTACACAAAGTATAACTTTCTCACCTTCTCTGACTCTCACACACACAGACCCTACAACTATGTGTGAAAATGTATCTCTCGTGTATCATGCCATGGCTGCTCCAAGGGGTGAACGCGGTTCGATTTGAACGATTTGAACGGTATTTTCAACTCAAATTATTTCATGCAGTTAAGAATTTTTTTCAAACCAAACCAAACCATAATTTACGGGTTGGTTTGGTTTTAATTCGCGATTTACCTATCGACATTATAATATTATATTTAAAATAAATTAACATATAAGTTTAAACGATAAATAATAATGTTAAATTACACTCATTTTTTCATGTAATTCCTGAATAAATTATTTTCAAAGTTAGTTGCTAAAAAATATTAATAGAATGAATATATCTCTTCCCTTTTATTTATATTTTCTTGTCTACATTTCATATTGTCATATAGCTGTTAATAAAGATAGAGTCACATTTTACTGTAATAGTTTGGTTAAAACTCCTTTCATCCTACTAGTGAGATCAAAAATAAGGACTAAATATGATGTATTTAAATTTACAAAGAATGAAAGAGTTTAGATTTATTGAAAATTGACAAATTTTATTCTCTAACACTTTTAAGAAAGTAGAATATAGTAATACTAATTAAGAAATTTTAATATTTTCACACAATCAATACGCTCTATGATTTGTTCTTTCTAAACCACAAACAAATTTATTAATCACATAAGCACAAAAACAGTCATTTTTTTTTTTTATCTAAATCACAACTTACAAGTGTATAATAAGTTCAAAAATAACAAATAAAAGAAGAATAATGAAAAAATGATTTGAATGAGAATCTAAAACTCATTCCGAGAGAAAGAGATTATTCGGGTAAAAATTAACAAACTAACAAGGAAAAGGCGATAACAATTTGCGATTGGGAATCACATTTTGTTCAGCAGTGGCAGGCAAGCGTTAAATGTTTGAGAAATGAGAGTTTAGGTTAGAGCTTCTGATGTTGTTGGCATGAGTTATTGTCGTAGTTTTGTTATGATTTGGATTGTTGAAAATAAATGCTTTTTTTTTTAATTTAAATGATTTGGGATTACTTTTAGTTTAAATTAGATATCAGGTCAGGACGTGTGCTGTGGACGGCTAATAATGATAACCTTAATTTACTTTATATGATTATTTCAATGGATTGTTTGTCATTTGTATTGCTAAATTGGTATTTTTTTTTTCTAAAAAGTGAAAATTTAAAAAAAAATTAAGTTAGTAAAATTATTTTTTTAATTTAAAAATTTAAAAACGGTTCGGTTTGATTTTATGCAATTTTTGAAAATTGAAATCTAAACCAAACCATTTTAAAACGGTTTGATTCGGTTTGAGGGAAAAAACCACAGATTCATGTGAACCCGAACCAACGGTTTCAAACTAACGATTTCGATTCGGTTTACGGTTTCACGATTTTTTGTGCATCCCTAGCTGCTCCTCTACAATTCCCTATGTCTACTAAGGTGTTTTGTCGGGGGAGCAGATAGTGGTGTCGTGCAAACTAGGCTTGTGGACGGTTCAGGCTCGAGCCATATGACGAGCCTGAGCAAGAGTTGAACGAGTCGGCTCACCCATAGGCGAATAGCTCGTGGGCCATGAACAGTGACTGTTTCGATCACCATTGAAAGTTCAGTGACCGTTAGAACTATGAACTATTTTTACCTTCTTTGTTTTACTCTGTAAATACCCCAATTCATTTCCAAATTTGTTCACACAACATTCCAACAACTATTACCTTTTCCACATTTACAATCTACTATATTTTCATTTCTATCTTGAATTTTAATTATTCAATATCAATTATCACACAATAAATTTACAAATACAATCTTATAAATCAACTTTCTTTTAATTCTTGATTTCTTTTCATACTCTCTATTTACTTACTTAATTACCTACTATACATCATATCACAATCCACAAATGGATCCACACTCATTTGTTCAGGGCTTGTTCGGTATCGGAGACGAATCACATATGACTCCACAAAGTCAATTTTGAAATGAATTTTCCGGTCTGAATGAAGTACTCATTCTCAAAAATATTCTAGATTTGGATGCTCATGGATGAGTAATCCAATAGATTTAGATGACGTTGATGTTCCCAAAGCGGAACATAAGGAAGAAAATGAATTAGATATTCATCATGCAAGAGAGAAGCGAAAGGGAAATAAACATGCAATAGGATTACTTTAAATTGATTCCAATGGTTATGTAAATACTGTTGACATCAATTGGCATCTCAAAAAGATATTGTTACTACCCAACTCAACAATCACTACAAAGTATGTGTGGCCAAACATGGACTTTTTGTTGGTAGTCAAACGCAACTGCAATTCGGTAGTCCAGGCGTCGTTCTAATTCTTCACCACTTTTCGTATGAATATATTCAGAAGAGAAAGCTCGAACGGGAATAGTAAAATTCGTTGTCACTGCTAAGTTGCTTCTAGCAATACCAGACAATCAACATTTCATCACGTATGTGAAAAAATATCTTCAACCGAGCTTCATTGGGGTAAGTCGGAACACTCTTCATTTAGATACAATGGAATATTTTCTTCGTACAAAGAAATGATTGATTAACGATTTGCAAAAATATGGAGGTGTTATATCTTTAATTTCGGATATATGAGAAGTGATTAACAAAATAGCTTATATAGTTGTAACTATACACTACATAGACCCATTTTGGTGTATGCATAAAAAATTATTGCTTTTAAAATCATTTTACCTCACAACGCTAGCATTATATATAACGCTATTATGAACATTATTGGATAATATCATTACGTAAGTAAAATTCATTCATTTACATTCAACAACGCTAGTGTTTATAAGACTTATCGATAAACTGAGAAGGCTATTGCAACCCCCATTTCGGTGATTATTTGTTTCATATTCGTTGTGTGTGCCATATTTTTAATTTAATTGTGTAGGGTTGTTTGAAACATATTAAGAATGAAATTCAAAAAATTAGGGATGCACTAATATGTATAACGATTTCATCTAGTAGAAAACAAGGGTTTGAGGAATTTTTTGCCCATTTTGGGGGTGATGAATACGAAAACATTTGTTAGTGAGATATGAAATAAATGGAACTTCACTTACTTATTATTAAAATCATGCGAATGTTTCTAACATTTAATAATTGAATTTTATAATAATAGGCATATTAGAAATGATGATGAAACTATTTTTAATGAATCTGATTGACTTGTAGCTTTTAAAATTTAAAAAAAAAATTGACAAGATTTTATGACTCTACAAATATTTTATCTGGAGTTTATTGTCTCACTACATGTATGGTGCTTGAACTTTTTTATATAATTTCAAGGACTTTTCATAAATACAAAAATGACTTCGATTTTATTCCAATTATATATTCTATTAAATTAAAGTTTAGAAAATATTGGGAAGACTCGCGTGTGTTATTTCCTTTAGCATACATTATAGATACTCGATACAATTTATCACATACTAAATATGTAATTTATCAAATTTCAAGAGTTTTAACTTTTAATACACGTATAACTTACAGAAATTTAGGACAAATTTTATGTGAAATATATGAATTATATGCAGAAAAGTGCAAATATTAGTCGATTACCTTCTGCACCTACTCCTCCCAGCTGATGCTAATATTGAAGAAGCCAACTTTAAAATATTAACTTTATTCGAATGCATTAACACATAGATATAATGTCAATGCAATAGGTTACTTTAATAATAATTTGTCTACCGCATATAATCAAATATCAGACACAAATCCAAATGCATTGTCTGCTGAATTAATTGTTTACTTTAATGATAATATGTCTAAGAATAAAACAATTAAAAATAATTAAAAGTAGTAATTGAATTCTAGCGAAAGTACGAACGATAATGGCCAGTGGTTTCTGCAATTGCAAAAGACCTACTAACAACTCCGGTTAGCACTATAGTTTCGGAGTCTGCTTTTAATACAGGTGAGAGGGTAATGTCCTATATCCTAAATTTTATTTTCTTTAATTCGTTTGAAACTCGTCAAATCTTCCCAAAAAATTAGTTTCAAATATTACTTTTACAACACTCACAAAGTATTTTAAAATAGCGTGCAATGCACGTTCAACTCTGACTATAGAGACAAAATTAGTATCATAATTGACATAAAGTTCTTACCTTAGTTGGATAGTAATTTCCTTATTTTCTAATGCGAGTCAATTAATCCCACAAACTTGAACTTGTCGATAATCATTTTGGACCATTTTAACCCTATTACAATTCAATGATTTCGAAATACCTTACTTTTTATTGGGTAATTGGCGCAAAACGTCCCTACCTTTTGAGTTTATTGTGGAAAACATCCATACCTTTCATTCTTGGTGAAAACGTCCATACCTTTCACATTTCTTGCTCTGAACATTCTTTTCACCAAATTTTACCATAAAATGACCAAATTACCCTCATATTTAAATAAAATAAAAATAAAAATAAAGAACAAATTACAGTCATACTCCCAAACATTTTAAAAGGTCCAAAACAGTCCAAAAGTCTTATTAAAATATTAAAAATGAAAAAAATTAATAAAATCTCTCATTTCCCCAACCCCACAGTCCACTCACCTCCTCCTCCTCGCCCAACCACCACGGCATTTTTTTTCCCTTCCGATTTAGAGAAGAAATGGCAAAATCGAAGAACCACACTGCCCATAACCAGTCCCACAAGACCCACAAGAACAGCATCAAGAAACCCAAACGCCACACCTCTACCAAAGGGGTTAGTTGATATTCATTTAGTGAGGA